GGTGATCCCCTAAATAGGTAAATAAGTTACTTTCGAGATATAGGCCGCAGCGCGCGGCATCCCCGCTGCCCGGGAAAAATTTTTTTCCCCGAAAAATTCGCTTTATTTTACACTTTTTCCGCGGCCTACGAGTGTTTATTACAGTTAATCATAGTAAATCCGTTTTCTCTCATCACTGATGAGAGAGGGCGGACCCTCTCTTCACCTTCAGGGGAAATATCGATAGAAATTTATTCCTCGGGGCGTCATATTATGCTATATATTTTTTTTTGAGGTGTACTTTTTATGTTTATATGCTATTATTATATTGCATTATATCATAATAGATCAATTGTGATAGATAAATAAGCCTTATAATTGATATTAGCGTGGGTATGGAATATTTTGTTGGCTGGAGGTGTCGGCCATTTTATGCACTATTCCCAGGGGTTCCCGATTGGTTCCTTGATCACATTATCTCCGCCCACTCTGGCATGATCTCAGATGGTGAATTTGTATTATATTAGACATAAAGATGTACGAAAACGATAAAAATAACACGGGGAAAAACGCAACAAAAACGTCAACAAAGCTGAGTCAGCGCTTCTTACGCGACATGTTGCGTCAGCGCTGTCACCATGCCTGTTATAAATGGCTGTAATTCCTTTTAGAAACATCGTACAAGGATAATAATTATACCAGCGTGTAGCCAGAAAGTTCAGCTATTTTTTGGTAACAATAACTCAGTTTTCATATATTTTCGAATTTTTTTTTGCTCCGCGCGCGGGAACCCTCAATCGGTCCTTAAACAACCACGGTGACATCACACATCCTTGTCTAAGGCCTACTTTTACTGGGAAATAATTTCCCTCTTTCCTACATACTCTAACTTGAGCCTCACTATCCTCGTAAAAACTCTTCACTGCTTTCAGTAACCTACCTCCTACACCATACACCTGCAACATCTGCCACATTGCCCCCCTATCCACCCTGTCATACGCCTTTTCCAAATCCATAAATGCCACAAAGACCTCTTTAGCCTTATCTAAATACTGTTCACTTATATGTTTCACTGTAAACACCTGGTCCACACACCCCCTACCTTTCCTAAAGCCTCCTTGTTCATCTGCTATCCTATTCTCCGTCTTACTCTTAATTCTTTCAATAATAACTCTACCATACACTTTGCCAGGTATACTCAACAGACTTATCCCCCTATAATTTTTGCACTCTCTTTTATCCCCTTTGCCTTTATACAAAGGAACTATGCATGCTCTCTGCCAATCCCTAGGTACCTTACCCTCTTCCATACATTTATTAAATAATTGCACCACCCATAATAAGCGTGTATGCACCTGGAGAAGAGAGGAATGCAGAGGAGAGAGAGAGAGATTTTGGGAGATGTTAAGTGAATGTATAGGAGCCTTTGAACCAAGTGAGAGAGTAATTGTGGTAGGGGACCTGAATGCTAAAGTAGGAGAAACTTTTAGAGAGGGTGTGGTAGGTAAGTTTGGGGTACCAGGTGTAAATGATAATGGGAGCCCTTTGATTGAACTTTGTATAGAAAGGGGTTTACTTATAGTTAATACATATTTTAAGAAAAAGAGGATAAATAAGTATACAAGATATGATGTAGGGAGAAATGACAGTAGTTTGTTGGATTATGTATTGGTAGATAAAAGACTGTTGAGTAGACTTCAGGATGTACATGTTTATAGAGGGGCCACAGATATATCAGATCACTTTCTAGTTGTAGCTACACTGAGAATAAAAGGTAGATGGGATACAAGGAGAATAGAAGCATCAGGGAAGAGAGAGGTGAAGGTTTATAAACTAAAAGAGGAGGCAGTTAGGGTAAGATATAAACAGCTATTGGAGGATAGATGGGCTAATGAGAGCATAGGCAATGGGGTCGAAGAGGTATGGGGTAGGTTTAAAAATGTAGTGTTAGAGTGTTCAGCAGAAGTTTGTGGTTACAGGAAAGTGGGTGCGGGAGGGAAGAGGAGCGATTGGTGGAATGATGATGTGAAGAGAGTAGTAAGGGAGAAAAAGTTAGCATATGAGAAGTTTTTACAAAGTAGAAGTGATGCAAGGAGGGAAGAGTATATGGAGAAAAAGAGAGAGGTTAAGAGAGTGGTGAAGCAATGTAAAAAGAGGCAAATGAGAGGTGGGTGAGATGTTATCAACAAATTTTGTTGAAAATAAGAAAAAGTTTTGGAGTGAGATTAACAAGTTAAGAAAGCCTAGAGAACAAATGGATTTGTCAGTTAAAAATAGGAGAGGAGAGTTATTAAATGGAGAGTTAGAGGTATTGGGAAGATGGAGGGAATATTTTGAGGAATTGTTAAATGTTGATGAAGATAGGGAGCTGTGATTTCGTGTATAGGGAAGGAGGAACAACATCTTGTAGGAGTGAGGAAGAGCCAGTTGTGAGTGTGGGAGAAGTTCGTGAGGCAGTAGGTAAAATGAAAGGGGGTAAGGCAGCCGGGATTGATGGGATAAAGATAGAAATGTTAAAAGCAGGTGGGGATATAGTTTTGGAGTGGTTGGTGCAATTATTTAATAAAATTATTATTATTAATATTATATACACCTACCATCTGACTTACGACCAAGTTCGGTTCCAAGAAACCGGTCTTAAGTCGAAATGGTCGTAAGTCGAACTTTACTACTGAATATCAACAAAACATTTTTGTAATGACTTTATTGTTTTATTTTGGTATTTTATGTTTTACTTTACTTTTTATGTTGTTAGTACTGTATTTCATACTGTAAGGTTTAGGATAAACACTGTGTACAACACAAATAGTTGTTTATTTCCCAGAAATTTGGCATAAAAAACACGGTCGTAAGTCGAGTTGTCGCAAGTCTAGCAGGTCGTAAGTTACATGGTAGGTGTACTATTATTATTATATGTATTATTATTATTATTATTTTTATTATTATTCTTTCTTTCAACACACCAGCCGTATCCCACCGAGGCGGGGTGGCCCAAAAGGAAAAACGAAAGTTTCTCCCTTTACATTCAGTAATATATACAGGAGAAGGGGTTACTAGCCTCTTGCTCCTGGCATTTTAGTCGCCTCTTACAACACGCATGGCTTATGGAGGAAGAATTCTGTTCCACTTCCCCATGGACATTTGTTTACTCTTGAACATCGCCAAAGAACTGAACATTTCTCCTACTTTGAGCTCAATTTCAAGGTACTTTTTGTTGTGAAACCAATCAAAATCATATCTATTTCTGTAACATATCTTCCATTCTATCAAATGAGACAAAAAAACAACATTTGAAAATAACGCAAATGGGCGGCTAATGGCTGAGAAGTGAACTCTGTTATTTATGGTCCAATTTCTTTCATTTTTGGTGTACGTTAAGAAGCATCTTTCCATCATACATTGTCCACGTTTCAATAAGATAGCCCAACAAACAACTGAGATCCAGTTCCCTAGATCAAGAGCAAGAGCCCCTCACCAGTGTCAAGGAACCTCCGTTGAGGCCCGCTCGCATCTGGAAATTTTGCTTGAGTCTGGAAGCAAAAAATCAACTGAGTGACTGCTTGTATCTGGAGAAACTCGCACATGGATGCACTCGTAAGTAGAGGTTCCACTGTATATAAGTCTTATACATACCTATTATAAAGTTTAATTGATAAATTATGCACAATAAGTGGAGAATTATCACTTTTTTTTACTGATGGGAAGCATTTCACAGTTTCTCTTAGGCTCTGAAGAACTGCCAGCTTTTCTACTTTTGCACTCTGGGGCTATTATGTAAAATTAAGAGGAATTTTTGGGCCACAGTAAACAATGGATAACTGAAACTGTGGATACCGAATCAGTGGATACGGTGGTTTCTACTGTACAAGGTATGTATATGGCTATCATCAACCAGTCCAGGTTTCCTGGCCTTGGCTACCTTTTACCCCCTGTGACAGAGTGGGTAGCATGCCAGGTTGACAATCTCAGGATGGCTAGGATGCAGCTTTGAATCCTGATCACATAAAAAAAAAAATTTACATTCATTCACAATTAATTTCTCAGTACAATGACAGTGAAACAGAAGGAACACGAACCAAATATTCCCACAAGCTGCTAATTGAATCTGGGGAAGGGGGGGAATCCCTTTAAAAATTTGTGATTGAGTCAAAGGTGTGGGTAACCCTGACAGATACAGATTTCCTTGTTGGAGTATTCTTTTTGTTCTCTGTGGCACAGTAGCTAGCACAGTGAAGTGGCAATCTGCAACTCAAATTTCAAATTATCTACCAGCATTTTTTCATACTTCAAGGGGAGGGAGGGCAGTACCTTTATGCTGATGAAGGACTCTTGATCCAAGGACTTGGAAACACCCTCCCCTTCCTAAGATCAAACCTAACTACTTCACATTTCTTAGATGCTGCATGACCCTTATGGATTTAACCCTTAAACTGTCCAAACGTAGATCTACGTTTTTTCAACATTTGGAAGTATGTAAAAAAATGGAGATCTTCTTTTTTTTTTTTTTTTTACATTTGAAAACGTGTAAAAAACTTTGATCTACATTTGTTTTTGTTATATATGAAAATATGTATAAAAACGTAGATCTACTTTTGGATCACTACGCATGTGAACGTAGATCTGTTTGGACAGTTTAAGGGTTAATGGTACCCATGACTATAATAATAATAATAATAATAATAATAATAATAATAATAAATATACCTACAGGATATCCTTTTACTATTATATTAATTTTTTATTATTATTTTTTATTAACACATTTGCTGTTTCCCACCAAGGCAGGGTGGCCCGTAAAAGAAAAACTTTCATCATTCACTCCATCACTGTCTTGCCAGAGGCATGCTTACACTACAATTATAAAACTGCAACATTAACAGCCCTCCTTCAGAGTGCTGGCACTGTTTACAGCATAATTTTGGCTCTGTCTCTAGCAGTATGTTAATACTAAATACAAAATAAAACTGTCATTATATCAACTTATAAGTTCTCTGTGATTAAGAAACTGCAAAGATTCTAACCTGCTGCAAGCCCAATGAAGAGCTGTTCGAAAATGGTTGTCAGTCAAGTCAACATTACACCTCTGCACACCTAAAATTCCATCCACAGTATCCTCTCTTGCCTCAGCAACAGCTAAATGCAATGCTGTTATACCATCAAAATCTTGCCAGTTGATACTGGAGGGAGCTGCAGCAATCAGAGTTCTTACACAGTATTTAGCACCCTCAGCCTTACTCATAGCTGCCCAATGCAGAGGTGTTTTGCCTTCTTGATCAGGCATAAGATTGTTAGCTCCGTGCTTTATTAGAAGACGTACATTTTCTTCTGATCCATATGCTGCTGCCCACAAAAGGGGAGTCCTCTGATAAAAAAAAAAAATATCTTCATACAGTATACAAGCAAGAATATTACAAAAACCATACAGCATAATTAAAAACTATCATATTAATATTTTCTTTTACCATATTCATGCTTAGTCCTTCTTGCTTGAAGAATAAGAAGTAATAAGTATTACTTTGTGTTTCTCATTTTTTTTTAACAAACCAGCTGTTTCCCACTGAGGTTGGGTGACCCCCACAAAAAAAAAAAAAATTCACCTGGTCACAGACCGGGCCGTGAGGGTGTTGACCCCCCGGAACTCTCTCTAGGTAAACTCCAGGTAAACTATCACTCCATCACTGTCTTAGCAGAGGGGTGCTGATACTACAGTTTTTTTCTTATTTCAACTAATTTCATCTTGAAAAATCATTTGTAAAGCAAATCACATTTTCCTAGACTTCTATTACTGTGTATAAATTAAAATATGCAATAATATATGTGTGTTGTAAGAGGTGACTAACATGCTGGGACCAAGGGGATAGTAACCCCTTCTCCTGTATACATTACTAAAGTTAAAAAGAGAAACTTTTGTTTTTCTTTTCGGGCCGCCCCACCTCGGTGGGATACGGCCAGTTTGTTGAAAGAAGAATACTATATAACAGAGAGAACAGTTTTTGACCATAAAATGTAAGAACAAGGAAAACTGAAAAAAAAAATACAAAATAACATGTACAGCCACTGAATGAATAAAGGTGAATGTGTTTTCTTCTTTTAGCCACTCTTACTTGGCAGGAGACGGCCGATGAGTTAAAAAAAAAGTGCTAAGACAAATTGTTGTGAATAGAGGCCATGACAGTCAGTTTTTTTATATTCACCTGTAAGAACTATGTGAAAGATGACACTGACCTGTTTCCATATACAAGTTTGTATAAAGGTGTGGGACTGAAAGATAATGAGTTTGACACAAAGTGGGAATTGTTACAGCTTTTCTTTGCCAATGACATTTCTTTTGGGAGATTCTGAAGAGAGGCTGAAAAAGTTGGTGGAGTGATTTGGGAGGGTATATCACAGAAGGAAATTAAAAGTAAACTTTGAAAAGAGCAAGGATATCACAGTAATATCTTAATACATTTCAGTATTATAGTGTACTACTCAGTTTGTCATTTACTGTATTTATCTTTCAACAAAGATCAATATTTCATAGTTAAGAAATTTTGCTAGAAAAAATTAATAGTGTGAGCATGGTAACACGTTATGAAGGTATTCAGGGAAACCGGTTAACCAGACTTGAGTCCTGTAGTCTAAAGGAGTGGTTAGAAATATATGCTGTTTGGAAGGACATCTGAACTGGTGTATCTGCATACCTCTGACAAAGACAATGAGTGGATAAATGATGATGAAAGTGTTGTTGTTTTTTGAGTCACCCTGCCTTGGTGGGAGATGGCCAGTGTGTTAAAAAAAATATACAGTATTTTCCAGGGCAAATCTTTCTTTAACCCTTTCGAGGTCTGTGCCGTAGTACTATGGGTTTGAGTTCAGTTCACTCAGATAAGCAGAGAGCAGTAAATTTGGGCCTAGATATGAGAGACTGGGTCTATACAGTGAGTGTGTACCTTGTAAAAAAAATTCTGCCCCCCACAGTGCATGATGAGAAAAAACTGTAACCATGAATTTGGTTCTAAATAGTGACTTTGTGGTGTATTTTTGGACGGTTTTTATGGCTGCATTCTCGGTTTCTTGATATCATTTGACAGAATGGATGATATATCACAGATATAGAGATAATTTTTTATTGGTTTCAGGACTGAAAGTAGTTTGAAACTGAGCTCAAATTAGCAGAAATGTTCAATTTTTGCCAATATTCCAGAGGACACAAATTATGTCACTCGTCCAACATGCTTCCAACTAGTCAGTATTAATTCATTCACAAATGCGCTGACATTATTTATACAATAATTACAGTAATGCACTAGTCTGCATACTGGTAAATCTTTTGTGAATAAAAATCTTTGTGGGAATAAAAATTCAAAATGGAAAGCAAGTGTAATATAGGAGAGGCCTTGGGATATAACTAATGAACAGAGGAAATGTTAAGTGCAAGGAATATCTACATTGTTAATTCTGGACTCGAGTCCAGAATTTTGTGTGAAACTTGTCAACTTACAGATTACTGATCCCTCTACTGGGTAGATGAAATAGCTAAATTGGCAGTTTCTTGTACTCAATCAACAGAATGGAATAAATAATAGTGAAACAGCTATGAGCTTGGTCAACTGAAACAATGGAACTGGCCAAAAATAGAACCCAAAGTGGGCAAAATTTCATAAGCAAAAAAAATTTTTTTTTTTTTAATTCCTGGACCCTAAAAGCAATTCTTAGATCAGGGGTCTGGACCCTGAAACAGTTAATTTAAATTGTTTAATAATGAAAAACTGCTTCAGAGCAACACTGCCAGAAATAATGAGAGTTAAAACATTCTCATCATTGACCCGTAAACAGTCCAAGCAGATCTACGTTCACATGTGTAGTGCTACAAAAGTAGATTTACGTTTTTTTACATATTTTCAAATATAATAAAAAAAGAGTAGATCAAAGTTTTTTTACACATTTTCAAATGTAAAAAAACAAAAAGAAGATCTACTTTTTTTACATACTTTCAAATGTTGAAAAAACGTATATATACGTTTGGACCGTTTACGGGTTAATATCCAGTGATGTCGTGAAATACATACCTTCTTGTGGTCCTCTGTATCCAGTGTTCCAGGTGCTGCATACTTGAGCAGGACTTGTAGACACTTGCTATTACTATGTATGGCTGCATGATGTAGCGGTGTCACACCTTTCACATCCTGAGCCAGCCAAACACCACCCTGACCTTCACAGTTAGTTATTCCTTTGCTCTCAACTGCATGCAGAATGGCCTTGATGCAACCCAGATGTCCCTATATGAATTAAAATCATTTATGATTTTTTTTAATTATTATAATCACGATTAAGCACTAAACCCACAAGGGTCATACAGCACTGTTAGAATTTTTGAATGACCTCATGACTGGGCAAGTTTCTTATTTTCAACTTCTTTCTCTCATTACTTGAGTAAAATCTGATTTGAAATAGATAACATTTTCTGTATTCTCATCCCTCTATGAAACAAATAATTACTGTAATTACGTAATCCTAGCTTTTTACCATTTACATCAGTATTATCTGTTTACTTAAAATTTATACAGAAAATCCTCAGTTTATAAACAAGTTGCATTTTTGTTTTTGTTTTTTTAAATTTATAAACAGGTTGATTGTATAGAAAACAAAGAATTGGTTAGTTTTACGTGTGTTCATATTTTGGTTCAGCAGTTGTAAACACTGAACTGGTCCCTTGATGCCTCATTTGTAAGTGTGAATGCATAATTCAGGGCACCTCTAGAGTAAGAGACTTCCTGTACACAAGTTCAACTTCATTCACAATTCATCTGACAAGCATGATACGAGTTCAACTTTATTGATCATTCATCTGACAAGAATAAAACTAGACTAACTACTAATTATCTCAATCTCATTTATTGATCATTCATCTGACAAGAATAAAACTAGACTAACTACTAATTATCTCAATCTCATCCACACACCATTCAAACCCAATGTGTACTAATCCTTTTTCTCACTTCTAACTTGTGTATTCTAGATGTTTATTAAGGTTTGTTTTACCTGAACTGTACTAGATGCAGCAGTGTACATGTGTATTTATTTACTGCTAAGTTATCAGTCATTACTTACTAAGGCAGGGTGATCTACAGATAGTAATACTGATGAGAATGTATGAGAAAATTGTTGGTTAGTCTGTATGAGTACAGTGTTGATGAGTGCATGACTGACTGCATTCATCACTGGTAACTATTCACAACTGTAATGATGGTGAAACATAATGCTTATGACTGCATGAAAATAACTCCATTCAGTTTCCTAGTACAGTAATGCATTCCCAACTCAAACTGAGGGCTTAACGCAGTCATAATTCAAGAAAACTTAATTTTTTCTTTTTAACACACTGGCCCTTTCCCACCAAGGTAGGGTGACTCAAAAAAGAAGAAACACTTTCACCCTTGCTCATTCCATCACACTCTTGCCAGGGGTGGGCCAACATTACAGTTCAGATGCCCCTCCAAACTGCAATATCCATCTCTCCTTCAGAGACAGTGACTGTACTTCCCACCTCCAGGACTCAAGTCTGGCTAATCAATTTCCCTGAATCCTTTCATAAATGTTATTTTGCTCACACTCCAACAGCACATCAAGCCATAAAAACCACTTTCCAACATTCACTCCTATCTAACATGCTCACACACACCTGTTGGATGTCTAAGCTCATCATATACAAAACCCCCATTGCCCCCTCCCTTCAACCTTTCCTACTTTATAAGCAGCAAAGTGTAATGGAGTGCGATTATGCGAGTCAGTGGCATCAGGTCTTGCTCCAGCCCGGAGAAGTGTTTCTACAGCTTCCTGATGGTTGCCCATTACTGCATACATAAGGGCAACACGCCCCCATTGATCACGAGCCTCAAGGTCTATACTTGCATCTGAAATGTTAAGATTAAAGGCCACTATATCAGCTGTGTGTCTTAGATGTAAAACATGATTGTAAAGGAGCTACTTTTCTAGACAAAATTGTAAGTGCAGTTAAAGCCCATTATCTAATTATCACCCCTCTATAAGGCAGCTAATCACTTCATACAGAAGCAATTAACTCTAAGTGTGAGCAACATATATAGTATACAAATTGAACCAAACTGTGTATGACCTATAAATATGCTTAATATTTATTCATTTCAACAATATATCCCCATGTTTGAGTGCTAAAACACATTAATAAACTAGTGTATGTAGGATCAGTTAATAAAAAATGAAAAACAATTATAATCTGGCACCAATAAATTGTAAAGCATATATGCCACTATGCACATTCATCCCACTATTGCCAATGAGTGAAATTTTTGCCAACTTCAACACACCATAAAATCATAAGTTTTCTTCTGATTTCATTTTTGTTTTCAAAGGTCTACTTAGAAAAACTGACTCTTTCAAACTATAAGATTTTTTTTTAATTTTGCCACTCATATGAATATTCAAAATGCAGGACCTGTCACGGTTAATGGGCTAATAGCCAACTTATACGTTGGTTTATGTGCAACCAGCCATAAGTCTGGTTGATCAGGCACTTATCTACTGTGAGGCCTGGTAATGGAATGGGCCGGGAGGCACTGACCCCTAGAACACCCTCCAGGTATACACCAGGTATTATATACGTACATTTCTCATTATACACAAGCATACTCTAATTCTGTTTTCATGTATTACTTATGCTTTATATTATTCTTAGCACTAAATCTGTATTGTCATACATCACCTGGGAATTACAGGCTAATCAGATCTGATTCAACAAAGAAAAGACTAGCTCCACTTCTTTAAATCAAGAGCCCTTCAACATTATCAAGGATGACTAGGGAAAGAAGGCAATAATGCTGCAAACAGATATTTGCTATGAGCAAGGAATAATAGGAAAGATTCTAAGTACAGTATATTAAACCAAACGAAGATAGTGTACAGTATAAACAAAAAGTCGACAAATTTCCTGACTTGCATTGAAACAAGAGTGTCCAACCTTGAAGAACTTCTGAAAGCTTAAGCTTGTCTGCAAGAATGGCTGCAGAATGAAGCAGGGTCCCAGCCTGGCCTAGATGTAATAGCGAGGAGCCAGGAACGCGCAGTCCTCCGATAAGAGGCGAGCCCACATTACTGAAATGATAGCCTGCTCCTGTGAGGAATCCTGGTGCTGATGGTAATGGTGGCAAGCCTGAAAGATAGCAAAAGTGAAATGCAAATTTCAGTTATTCATTTGACTTTCTTTTGACAAAATATTTTTGTATCATATCACTGAGGAGGAGTAATAATGTGTGCTTCAAAATGTAAATGGATATTTAATTTTTGGTATGAGGTAAGGAAATGCAACAAGATATAATCAGCAAACATGAATATTAAAGAAAATGTTTCAGTCCATAATGGATAATTATCAGATCATGAAAGAAAGGTCATATGAAGAGGTGAGGAAAATAATTGAAAACAGGTCAAGTGAAGAGAAAGTCAAAATCAGGTCTGAGTATTTGATAATGTACTACTTGGAACAGAAACAAAATGGAGAGTAAGCTTCATAATACCTAGGAATGTTTAGAAGAGGAATAAATAGTTTTATCAACATATCAATTTATGGTATAGCTATGGTCTCTAACATGACAGAAAACAAGTGATGTTTGTGCCAGCAAAGTGAACAATTCTCTTACACATACATAAAAATATACGAGACAACTGGAAAAAATAAAAGCCACATTTTCAAATCACAGAATATCAGTATAGACATAAAGAACTCTAGAATGCATTTTTTTCTCCAGTGTCAGATAGCCTGGAAAAGTTTCCAAAAAGAAATATGTTTACTACAACTACAATACTGAAACTAAGCATTTGTGTGGCAAACTATATAATGAATATGGGGCACCAGGAACATAACTATTAATATACCTACAAAGTAGGTAATCACACACCAGTAATCATTCATATACAAACACTGAGGTGTGACTGAAAAAGTCCAAGAACAAATAACAAATAAACCCATACTAAACAAACACTAAAGGTTACAAAAGTTTAAGGTAAATATCCCTCAAATGTAATATGCTGACAGACTGCAACCACTAATGGAGATGGAACTGTCTTCTCATGTGAGTGTGAAATGGAAGCCTGTTAAATGTTTTATACTTTGGCATGATTCCTGGCCCTTTCTTTGTCAATAAACACTTAAGATGACAAATAAATCTTGCAACTATACAGTACTATTTACATCCAGGATACTCTACACATATGCAGATGTGCATGCATGCATATATTATATTATTATCGAGAGCAATGTGTGGTGTGAATATCATGCAGAGCATTTGGAGCATTTGGAGGTGGCTTGGGCAGCTAACCCCTTCAACAACCAGAGGGTGTACAGAAAGGGTGTATAAATCTGAGGGTGGAGAGTAGGAAGGATAGAGGTCATCCTGAAAATGACTGAAGGGAAGAGGGGGGGTAAAAGGGGTCTGGAGTTTTAGGGGCATGAGCATCCAGTAGGCTTGTGTGAGCATGGTAGAAAGGAACGAAGGGAGACAAGTAGTTTTCATCTGATGTGCTTTTGGAGTGTAAGCAAAATAACTTTCATGATTAGATTCAGGGAAACCATTTAGCCAGACTTGAGTCCTGGAGGTAGTAAGTGCAGTGCCTGCACTCTGAAGGAGAGGTAGGTATGCTATCAAAAGGTAATCCGACTGATGATTGCATTTTTTTTTGGGGGGGAGGAGGGGGAGCACCCTGCCTTGGTCCTTAGCTACATTCACTTTTTCCATACTGCCTCCTTCCAATCTGATATCCACTCTTTCATTACCAAAATTGTTTATTACCATCATCAGCTTTCTCTTTCGTAAGTTCATTTTTAATTTCCCTATTTTGCATACTTCTCTTCAGAATCTCCCAAAAGCAACTGTAATAACTCCCATTTTTGCGTTAGATTCTGTATATGTAAATAAATATATAATATATAAATATAAATGGGTAGTGGGTTGGTAGACAGCAACCGCCCAGGGAGGTACTACCGTCCTGCCAAGTGAGTGTAAAACGGAAGCCTGTAGTTGTTTTACATGATGGTAGGATTGCTGGAGTCCCTTTTTCTGTCTAATAAACAGGCAAGATTTCAGGTACGTCTTGCTACTTCTACTTACACTTAAGTCACACTATACATACATGTACAAACATATATACACACCCATCTGGGTTTTCTTCTATTTTCTTTCTAGTTCTTGTTTATTTCCTCTTATCTCCATGGGGAAGTGGAACAGAATTCTTCCTCCGTAAGCCATGCGTGTTGTAAGAGGCGACTAAAATGCCGGGAGCAAGGGGCTGGTAACCCTTTCTCCTGTATTTTTATTTTTTTTATTATCACACTGGCCGATTCCCACCAAGGCAGGGTGGCCCGAAAAAGAAAAACTTTCACCATCATTCACTCCATCACTGTCTTGCCAGAAGGGTGCTTTACACTACAGTTTTTAAACTGCAACATTAACACCCCTCCTTCAGAGTGCAGGCACTGTACTTCCCATCTCCAGGACTCAAGTCCGGCCTGCCGGTTTCCCTGAATCCCTTCATAAATGTTACTTTGCTCACACTCCAACAGCACGTCAAGTATTATATATTACTAAATTTAAAAGGAGAAACTTTTTTTTTTGACATTGTTCACAAGCCAGGGCGGACGGTTTCATGCTTACATTCGATAAATTTTGTATTATTCCAGTGTTTTTAGTGCTTGTAACTGCTAATTAAGCCACCATGGGCCCAAAGAAAGCTTCTAGTGCCAACCCCGTGGTAAAAAGGGTGGGAAATACTATCGAAAAACTATCGTACCACGGTCAGCTGCTGTTGCTGCTGCACCATGGTCTGCTGCTGCTGTATCATGATCAGCTGCTGCTGCTCCTGCCATACCATGGTCAGCTGCTGCTCCTGCTGTACCACGGTCAGCCGCTACTGTACCACTGTCAGCTGCTGCTGCTGCTGTACCACAGTCAGCTGCTGCTGTACCACTGTCAGCTGTTGCTGCTGCTGTACCACTGTAGCTGCTGCTGTACCATGGTCAGCTGCTGCTGCTGTTGTACCATGGTCAGCTGCTACTGCTGCTGTACCACGGTTAGCTGCTGCTGCTGCTGCTGTACCACTGTCAGCTGCTGCTCCTGCTGCTGCTGCTGTACCACAGTCAGCTGCTGCTGCACCATGGTCAGCTGCACTACTCAAAGATATGGATAGACTGTTGTTGGTGTGGCTTATCGAGAATACCGAGAAACAATTAACCCCGGAGGGTTAGCCACCCAGGATAACCCAAGAAAGTTAGTGTATCATTGAGGACTATCTAACTTATTTCCACTGGGGTCCTTAATCTTGTCTCCCAGGATGCGACCCACACCAGTTAACTAACACCCAGGTGAACAGGAAAAAATGCTCATACTGGTGAATTTAAGGCCAGCAAAGGTTGGTTAGAGAGATTTAAGAATCATAGTGGCATACACAGTGTGATAAGGCCTGTTCTGGAAGAAAATGCCAAACAGGACCTACATTACTCAGGAGGAAAAGGCATTCCCAGGACACAAAGCAGTGTCTCATCACTACATCTTCAATAAAGGTAAGTGTCATTTATTCTTCATTTAGTAGTACATGCACAATATATATTGTGCATGTACTACTCTACTACTGTGCATGTATCCTTCTTTTTGTGTGTAGGAAAATGTATATTTCACGTGGTAAAAATTTTTTTTCATACTTTCGGGTGTCTTAAACGGATTAATTTGATTTCCATTATTTCTTATGGGGAAAATTAATTCAACCTACGATCATTTCGTCTTACGATGGGCTCTCAGGAACGGATTAATGTCGTAAGTCGGGGGTCCACTGTACTAAGTCTATGTGAGTTATTCAGGAGTGCTGGAGGTTCAGTCCTACATCTGCTAGTAGCAGGACAAGATCCTCGACCCAGTTGGATATACATATTACAGAACCTCTGTCCACAAACCTGATGGTAGTATGCAACCAGATGCCAAGGGGCTACTACAGGGATATCCTGGATTAAATCCAGGGGTCATGCCATGGCTGCTATAATAAAAGTTCATGAAAGCTGGACTGAAGCTAAAAATCTGAAAAAAAAAAAAAATAGATCATAAGATCCTGTAAATATATGTGCTGGATATATTTACAGGAGGTTATACTACAGCTGGTGCATTCAGATGCAGTATGCATTTATGCGCAACATAAATATTACATACTCTCATTATCTATTTATGTAGGGGTACCCGTAATTTTTTTTTTTAAATACTGAATTGGTGCTGAAGCTTAGAAATATGATAGCAGAAGAGCATAGTATGACAAAGAATTAAAAATAATTGTTAGGTATTTATTAAACCTTGTAAAAATCCTTGGAATTATGAGTTAGCTCAAAAAACTTCACTGACGTGTATTCAGTGCACTGGTTCACTTAATTCACTGGTGCCTTAGTAGCCCCTTTATTGTGATAAAAAGAAAGCAGGTTTTATTGTTACTTTATTGCCAAAGAGACAAAAGCTGACAATGACTGTTTGTTATCTTTGTGTGTGAAGACTACTGCATGTCAGTCATATTAACCCTTTGACTGTTCTGGTCGTATATATACGTCTTACGAGCCACCGTGTTTGACGTATACATACTCATAAATTTTAGCAGCTTCAAATCAAGCAGGAGAAAGCTAGTAGGCCCACATGTGAGAGAATGGGTCTGTGTGGTCAGTGTGCACCATATAAAAAAATCCTACAGCACGCAGTGCATGAGAAAAAAAAAACTCCGACCGTTTTTTAATTAAAATGCCGACTTTGTGGTCTATTTTCGTATAGTATTTATGGTTTTATTCTCGTTTTCTTGGTCTCATTTGATAGAATGGAAAACATATTATAGAAATAGAGATGATTTTGATAGGTTTTACAATGAAAAGAATCTTGAAATGGAGCTCAAAATAGGGGAAATTTTTTATTTTTGTCGATGTTCAAAAGTAAACAAATGATGTAATTTTCCAATAAATGTCCAAGTAATCACTCTAATATGCAGTCATGAATGGTTTGACATTATTTATACAATTATTACAACATTGCAGTAGTCTGCATAACAGTAAACCTATTTTTTTTTTTTTTTGAATAAAAATTCAAAATAGAAAGCAAGAGTAATATCAGAGGGGCCTGGAGACGTGACTGATGAACACAGAAAATGTTATTTTAGAGCCAGGAATGTCTGCATTGTTCATTCTGCACCCTATTTTGAAATTGTCATATATTTTAATTTTCATAAAATTGGCCAAATTGCCAATTTTTGACCACGTTATTGGGTAGGTGAAATTGGTAAATAGGCAGTTTCTTGTACTCAATCGATAGAAAAAACGAAGTTCTGAAGAAATAGCTATAAGTTTGGTTGACTGGAGCAATGGAATTAGCTGAAAATAGGGCCAAAACTGGGCGAAATCGCCGATTCGTAAATATTGCTGAGGTCGCTAACTTCGCAAGAGCATAATTCCGTCAGTTTTCCATCAAATTTCGTTCTTTTGGTGTCATTACAATAAGGAAAAGATTCTCTATCATTTTATAAGAAATTTTTTTTTTTTTTTTTTTTTGGGGGGGGGGGGGGGAATTTTGGGACACCAGGCGACACCTCAGGATTTGGGATTGCGACAGTCAAGGGGTTAAAATACAGCATTAATTTTTTATGGAATTTATTAAATTGGAGAAATGCTAAACCCATTACATTCATGCAGTGCCTGATCCAAGGTAGAGGAGGGCAGCTCCAAATCCTTATGTTAAACAGTCCTCAATGACACACTGACTTTCTTAGGTTATCCTGGGTGGCTAACCCTCTGAGTTAAAAATCCAAACAAATTTTATTTTGTCTTAACCCTTCACAAGCATCAAAATCATTTTAACCCTTAACCCCTCGACTGTCGCAACCCCAAATCCTGAGGTGTCTCTTGGTGTCGCAAAATTTCAAAAAAAAAAAAAAATTATTTTTTCTTATGAAATGATAGAGAATCTTTTCCTGATTGTAATGACACCAAAAGAACGAAATTTGAAGGAAAACTGACGGAATTACGCTCTTGCAAAGTTAGCGACCACGCCGATATTTACGAATCGGCGATTTCGCATACATATTTTGAGCCCTATTTTTGGCTAATTCCATTGTTCCAGTCGACCAAACTCATAGCTATTTCTTTAGAACTCCATTTTTTTCTATCGAATGAGTACAAGAAACTACCCATTTACCGATTTCAACTACCCAATAACATGGTCAGAAATTTGCAATTTGGCCAATTTCACGAAAATTAAAAAATATGACAATTTCAAAATAAGGTCCAGAATGAACAATGCAGACATTCCTGGCTCTAAAATAACATTTTCTTTGTTCATCAGTCATGTCTCCAGGCCCCTCTGATATTACTCTTGCTTTCTATTTTGAATTTTTATTCAAACAAAAAAAGAAAAGATTTACTGTTATGCAAACTGCTGCAATATTGTAATAATTGTATAATGTCAACCCATTCATGACTGCATATTAGAATGGCTAGTTGAACATTTATTGGGCAATGACATCATTTGTTTACTTTTGAACATTGGTAAAATTCAAACATTTCCCCTAATTTGAGCTCCATTTCAAGGTTTTTTTCAGACTAAAATGCTTTCCATTCTATCAAATGAGACCAAGAAAACGAGAATACAACCATAAATACTATACGAAAATAGACCACAAAGTCAGCATTTTAATTAAGAAAAAAAACGGTCGGAGTTTTTTTTCTCATTATGCACTGCGTGCTGCAGGATTTTTTTATATGGTGCACACTGACCACACAGACCCATTCTCTCACATGTGGGCCTACTAGCTTTCTCCTGCTTGATTTGAAGTCGCTAGAATTTATGAGTATGTATATATACGTTTTAGGTAGTAGGTTGGTAGACAGCAACCACCCAGGGAGGTACTACCGTCCTGCCAGGTGAGTGTAAAACTGAAGCCTGTAATTGTTTTACACGATGGTAGGATTGCTGGTGTCTTTTTTTTCTGTCTCATACACGTGCAAGATTTCAGGTACGTCTTGCTACTTCTACTTACACATAGGTCACACTACACATACATATACAAGCATATATATATACACACACCCCTTTGGATTTTCTTCTATTTTCTTTCTAGTTTTTGTTCTTGTTTATTTCCTCTTACCTCCATGGGGAAGTGGAACAGAATTCTTCCTCCGTAAGCCATGCATGTTGTAAGAGGCAACTAAAATGCCGGGAGCAAGGGGCTAGTAACCCCTTCTCCTGTATATAATGCTAAATGTAAAAGGAGAAACTTTCGTTTTTCCTTTTGGGCCACCCCGCCTCGGTGGGATACAGCCAGTGTGTTGAAAGAAAGTATATATACGTCAAAAGCGGTGGCTCATAAGACGTATATATATGACCGAAACAGTCAAAGGGTTAAACTGTCCAAACATAGATCTATGTTTCCCCGCGTAGCGCTCCGAACATAGATCTACATTTTTTACATAAGAAAGAATGTAAAATTGAACGTAGATCTACGTTCAGAGCGCTACACGCACAAACGTAGATCTACATTTGGACAGTTTAAGGGTTAATAAATAACCTCCCAACTGTTCATCACATCCCAAATGTGGCACACTAAGAGTATGTTACAGTTTATTTGGCATATGTCACATTCCCACATAGGCATGTCTCCCGACCAGCAAACCAGGTGCTAAGGGTTTAACGATAAGGCGCCCCATCGTTATACCCTTAGCACCTGGTTCACTGGTTGGGAAGTATGCCTATATGACACCAAAATTCTTACAATTGACTATAGAGTCACTTTTCTACTCCATTAATATATACATTAGTAAAAGATGAAGTTATAATTTATTCAGAAAAACTGCAGAGTGCACAAACAACAGATGAAATAAATCTAATACAAGGAATATATGCTAAGGTTAGATGAAAACAGTGCAGAAAATGGCACGATGAAAGTAGTAAACAGCAATAGGTCAAAGTACAGTGTAAGATGCACGGGATATAGACAGAGCATAGGAGAAGAATAAACTACCATATCTTAAAGGAAATAAACATGAATCAGCAATAAAAAAAAATATGCTAGAAATATAGTAGGAGTGACTTAAGGAACATTAACAGTGAATGGTATAACTAAATATTATTACAGGATATTAAGAAGCTAAAAGCCCAGGTGGATCATCCAGGGCTGAATTCTACAATTCATATAAGAGGCTTAAAGGTAAATTTCCACATGTAACTCTTGCAAACAAAAGAAAATTTACACATTACCTGATGAAAGGCAGCACTGTTGTTCTGAACAACTGGAGGAGATACTAGAGAAACATTATGAGGTATATTTGAGTACACTGAATGAGGTGTACTTGGAGATACATCTTGAAGTTCATCCCCTATTTTCGTAGCCTCAATTTCCTTTTTGTGATTTTCTTTGTCTGCCTTTACATTCTGCCCTTGTATACTGGGGTCTCCAGTTTGAGAATTTTCGTAAGTGCTTGAAGTGCAATGAGTTTTGTCTGTGGTTTCATGTGACACATTTTGGTTATTGGATGCCATAATATTTTATGCGTTTCATAGATCATCATCATTTCACATCAAACTGCAAAGAAAGTTAAGTAAGTTAATGGTAATGAGTTTCAAAGACTGTATAGCCTTTTGTATTTTACCAAACTGTTGTATTCTAAATTATTTACATGTACAATTGCTAGCCAGTCATTCAACAGATACTGAATAGTATAAGGAAAAAAAATGGGTACAAATATTGCAGTGTACTGAGCTTTGGATACCCTTTTTTTTTTATCTTGTTTATGTACTAAACAAAAGGAAAGATATGGAGGATGGTGGAGACAACACTTTAGTATACTATATGGATTTACAAATTATTACCCTATACTGTAAACACTGTATACAGTACATAATTTACTATCAATGTAATAATTTGCATAATAACCCAAAAAAGCCAGTCTGGTTTATTTCCATTTGAGGCCCTATGATCTTTCACTTTAAACCATTTTTTTTTTTTAACATGCTGGCCAGCTCCCACTAAGGCAGGGTAAACTTGAAAAACAAACAATTTCACCATCATTCACACCATCACTGTCGTTCCAGAGGTGCAGAGATACAACAGTTTAGATGTTACTCTAAACAACAAATACCCCTCCTTTAGAATGCAGGCATTGTACAGTGGACCCCCGGTTAACGATATTTTTTCACTCCAGAAGTATGTTCAGGTGCCAGTACTGACCGAATTTGTTCCCATAAGGAATATTGTGAAGTAGATTAGTCCATTTCAGACCCCCAAACATACACGTACAAACGCACTTACATAAATACACTTACATAATTGGTCACATTCGGAGGTGATCGTTATGCGGGGGTCCACTGTATTTCCCACCTCCACAGCTCAAGTCTGCTAACCAGTTTCTCTGAATCCCTTCACAAAATATAACCCTTCTCACACTCCAACAGCTCGTCAAACCCCAAAAACCCTTCATCTTCACTCACTTCTAACTCACACGTGCCTGCCAAATGTCCAAGCCCCTTGCACACAAAACTTTCTTTACCCCCCTCCCTTCAGCCTTTCCTAGGACAACCCCCAGCCTGCCTTCCCTCCAATACAAATTTATACACCTCCATGCATACAATGAACACACACATCTTAATGCATTTGGTAAAACCAATATAATGTAGGTTTTGCTAGGCACCTAAATGCTGTGTAAATGGTAAAAAATAGAAGCTAATTATACCAAAAGCCAAAATAATCCAACCTACAATACCTAACTTAACCTACACTGCCAACAGTAGATACGGAACTTGCCTATTTCTGTTAGGTAATGGACTCAAATACAGCTATTGTGACATTTTTATTGTGGCAATGTTTCTCTCTCCCGGAGCTTTGTCAAACTGGCTTAACAAAGCTCCTGGAAAGCTAAACGTTGTCACAATAAAGTGTCACATTAGTTGCATCTTCATCCATTTACCTAACATTTTATCAGTAATTCTACCATTATTACTAATTGTTTATTCTGTTTATATTTAGATATGGAACTTGTTTGTTTCTGTTGAGGTTCAGTGTGATTGACAGGCCTCTCAACTGACTCAATAATAACTAGTGATTAGTCCTGACATGGAATTTGCTGGTGTTTCCTTATGACAAGAATCTTGTGGTGTTGTCTAGTGAAGTAATGGAGGCAGGATCCATAAAAAAGCTTTAAAAGGAGGTATGATGAAGCTAATGGAGCAGGGAGAGAATGGACCCAACAGACCAGTGAAGAGGCAGGGCCAGGAGTTGTGAATCAGCCCCTGCAACCACATACAGGTGAGTAAACATTTCTTTTTAAGAATTCAGCAACAGTTAAGAGCATACTAAACAATTATTTTTATTATTACAATCAAAACTAAGTGCTAAACCCACACAGGTCATATAGTGCTAGGACACTCAGCTCACACACTCGGGTTCAGGGGTTGATCCCCGGTATGGGTAGAAACATTATAATGTGTTTCCTTAAGACACCTGCTGTCCATGTTCCCCTAGAAGTAAAATAGGTACCTGGGTGTTAGTCAACTGGTGTGGATCGCATCCTGGGGAAAAAAATTGACTTAATTTGCAGGAAATGCTCTGCATAACCAGGGACTTCTACATAGTAGTATGTCACTGATGTCAGCTATGGTCTATATAAGTTGTATCATGTACTTGTTAGGCAAAATATGGAATTATATTTGCTATTCTTTCAACACATCGGCCGTATCCCACTGAGGTGGGCTATTATCTACCTAAATAATAATTTACATAATAAAAATGTTCAGTGGGTCATAAATACTCCACTTGTATTTAAAAAAAAATAATGCGCAAGTTCTTGAGAGAACCAGACCTCAATACCAGCATCAGATTTGATCCAAGAAGGGGGATCAAGAACCTCCCTTGAGGAGTGTTGGATCAAGAGCCCTTCACCAGTAATTATTATAGACATACATTGGCTATAAATTACATATTATAATTATTATAATGAAAACTAAGCGCTAAACCCCCAAGGGTCATACAGACCTTGGATCAAGAGCCCTTTGCCAGTAATTATTATATGCATACACTGACTATTAATTATGTATTATTATTACAATCAAAACTAAGAGCTAAACTCACAAGGGTCACACAGTATGAATTACGGAATATAATAAAAAAGCACGAAACCCACAAGGGCCACACAGTATAAGTTACATATTATCAAAAAAGAAGCGCTAAACCCATAAGGGCCACAGTATAAATTACAGTATTATTATAATAAAAAAGAGTGCTAAACACACAAGGGCCACACAGCATAAATTAAAAACTATAATAAAAAAGAAGCACTAAACCCACAAGGGCCACAGTATAAATTACCTATTATGTATTATTATAATAAAAAAGAGTGCTAAACACACAAGGGCCACACAGTATAACTTACAAACTATAATAAAAAAGCACTAAACCCACAAGGGACACAGAGCATAATTTGACTATTATTATTATAAAAAAGAGCACTAAACCCACTAGGGTCCTCCAGCCTAAATTACATATATTTAACACAAACATATTTCATCTTAGCTTTGGTTTTCCTTCAGTTCAACAGTAAAATTAATGTAAGTCATTGAATGAAACAGTAATTAACTCCCTGTCTATGATTTTAAAGTCTTTAACCATGAATAATAAACAAAATACTGACTGAGTAATGCAATGCTGTTTGTTGTCGTTAAGAGTGAAATTGTGTTGTTGGAGCTATTAAGGTCCTAATATTAAAGCTTACACCTTACTGAACCTGCAAATATTAGCTTTATTTACAGTGAGCAAAGTCAGGGTATTTGTCTGGAATGGTTTGTAATATGGGATAAAATACTTTGACATATCTTGAACATTTCTGAGTGAGCTGTCTCCGAATTCATTAATTTTATCGCATTCCATTACATAATGACGTAAGGTGTGACAATAGTTCATCTGGCAAAGTATACATTTTGTTTTGTCTACATCTGGTGGTGGTGATTTAACCTGCCAAAGACACATGTAACCCAGCCAGAGGTGGGTCGTAGCGACATCCAACAGTCTGCTTATTTTGTTGGGTGCACCATAAACATGTGGCTCCACCTGCATGATAGAAAGACGATAGATGAACTGACTTGAACCCTAACTCCTCAGGGTGTAAGATAAGATTGTGTTGGGATTTTTAACCCCGGAGGGTTAGCCACCCAGGACAACCCAAGTCAGTGTGCTCTAGAGGGACTGTTTGTCTGTCTTATTTCCATTGTGGTCTTTAAATTTTCTTCCCTAGGATGCCACCCACACCAGTCCACTGACACCCAGAAACCTATTTTACTACTAGGTGAACATGGACAGCAGGTGTCTTAAGGAAACACATTCTAATGTTTCCACCCGTACCGGGGATCAACTCCCGGACCCTAGTGTGTGAGCTAAGTGTCCTAGCACTATATGACCCATGTAGGTTTAGCACTTAGTTTTGATTGTAATAATAAAATAATTGTTTAGTAATAATAATAATAATAATAATAATAATAATAATAATAATAATAATGTAATAATAATCTTTATTTCTACAAGTATAGTGGTACCGTGAGTTTCAAACAGCTCCCAACTCGAACAATTATGTAAGTGTATTTTTGTAAGTGCTTTTGTAAGTGTATCTTTGGGGGTCTGAAATGGACTAATCTAATTTACATCATTCCTTATGGGAACAAATTTGTCTGGTAATGGCGCCTAAACAGCCTTCTGGAACGAATTATGGCTGAAACTCGAGGTACCACTGTATATGATACACCTAATACAGACCATAGCTGACATCAATGACATACTACTATATAGAAAGCCCCTTATGCATAGCATATCCTGCAAACTAGGTCAATTTTGTCCCAGGGATGCTACCCACACCAGTCTATTAACATCCAGGTACCTATTTTACTGTTAGGTGAACAGGGACAGCAGGTGTCTTAAGGCAACATATTCTAATGATTCCACCTGTACTGGGGATTGAACCACGGGCCTCAGTGTGTGAGCTGAGTGCACTACCAACCCAGTTACATAAGTAAAGTAGGATGGAGACTACGATCATCATACATAGTAATGTGGCAGGATTCGATGAAGTAAGTTTCAAAACGAGCTTGGTCCCCAGGGGTATGGGGTAACATCACTTAGCTTTGGCTAAGCTCCCAAACTTTATATATATATATATATATATATATATATATATATATATATATATATATATATATATATATATATATATATATATATATATATATATAAATATATATATAAATATATATAAATATATATAAATATATATATATAAATATATATATATAAATATATATAAATATATATATATATAAATATACTATATATATATATATATAAATATATATATATATATAATTACATAATATATATATATATATATATATATATATATATATATATATATATATATATATATATATATATATACGTCCTGTCTAAGGGCAATGTGTGGTGTAAATATTATGCAGAAAATTCGGAGTGTGGAAATTAGGAGAAGGTGTGGAGTTAATAAAAGCATTAGTCAGAGGGGCAGAAGA